TAAGCAGTCTCCCTGCACCCGTCCAGCCGAAAGTCGATTAGCTTCCACCATCTGCCGGGCATACATTTGCAGGCACTGTCGCCTTCGCCTTCAACCACCAGAGGAGTTCGGAAGCCTGCGCGAAGTGTCGACACGCTTCTGGCCGATCGGGCAGAGTTGGGACGCCCGTGGGGCTTCACAGGATTTTGGGCCAAAGCTTCTGGAAGAAGCATTGGCTTGTCAGACTCTGCTTCCGCCACCTGAAGCTGCCAGGCCGCTGCCGGTGCAGCTGTACAGCTGCATTCCCAGCGTCAGTGGGCTGTGAGGGCTTGAATTCTCGGAATTGCAAAGCTTGACTTCTGCGTCGATTGTCTTCTGGACTGTGATCGGATGCTTGCTTAGCTTAGTTGGTGCATAAGGGCATCCCCAGGAGAGGCTGCATGGGACATGCTACACTGCTGCACTCAGAGATCCTGGCAAACAGTCTGCAGGCGCACTTCGCAGCGGATCGACTGAGCCACCAGGCTGATCAAGTCCCAAAGCGGATTAGGTTTTTTCGTTTTCAATGACTCCTTTTAAATGTTGGGATCTTGGAGCAGGGCCAGTGGCGTTGAGAAATCTCTGCGCCGCTTTGCTGTGCTGATCCAAGACTTCCCCCCCAGCCTGCCACCGATAGGCTCGACCACCGGCAGTCAAGCCTCCGAAAAAGCTGCAGGAAACTTCTGAGCATATGCCGGTGCCGTCTGCTGATGTGTGGGAAGCTGAAATCCTTTTTGTGGGCTGGGGGTTGTCGATCTGCATGACAAATTCGCTACGGCAAAATCTGTGGTCCAGTCCTGAAGGGAAGGGCAAGCGCGGCAACGACTGATGGGTTTGCGAACGCCATTTAGAGATGCTTGCCCAGATCCAGGAATGAAATCGCGATCCCAAAGTTTGCTACGCCAGATCTGCCGCTCCAAAACCAAGAGGCCTAAGGCCTCTTTGGAGGCATCTTGTACATAGTCAAGGCTTGAGGTCGGTTTCCTGGCCGTAGCGCCTCCCAGCCTGTTCGGCTGCAAAGCGGGTTTGATTTGAAAGAGGACACTGGTAGGAAGAGCCCGAAGTTCCCTGTGCTGTAGGATTCTGACATAGAAGCCACCTCCTTGCAGGTTCTCCGGACACACAGCGTATGGCATTGAGGTTTGAGCGGGTCTTATGCTGGGAATTTTGCCGCGCAGAAGAAGCCCACATGACCTGACGGGACACAGTTTGCTGGCCATTGTCTCCAGCCAAGCACCAGCATGCCAGGATTGCATTGACTTGCGGAAACCTTCTTTCTGTGTTTCTGCGGCCAAGATTGCCAGGAAAGCATCAAGGAGGCCCAGTAGTAGATCCCAAAGACCGTGCCCGATTGCAGCCATGGCATCCGAGCCCTTTTGACAGCAGTGAAAAGTCTTTGCCTGGAGGGAAGCGGTTGCACCGTTTGAGGGGACGAGCGGAGCGAGCTCCAGCCTAGGACCTAGGAGGCAAGGCGCCCTTCCGAGAGTTCAGTCTGGTTTCGGCCAGAGCCAAGTTGCTGAACAAAAGCTCTTGGGACTACCTGCATGCCTACACTCTCTGTGTCACTGCTTCGAATAGCAGGCACTTGTAATTCTTGGAGACGCTAGGCGCGAATCCATCTTCTAGCATCTTCTAGAGACAGCATTAAAAAAATTGGCCTTTTGCAATTTTTTCAGCAGGTTCGAGCCTGTGCTTCCTTGGAAGGCTAGGGCTAGCCTTGCACAAGGTCCCCCTCTGCCGAGCACGAAATCAGACGACAACTTACCGACAACCAAGGTCACGGCGGTCGATGAGCACTGCCGGTGGGGACAAGGGGGGAGGGAGGAGGTAGCCCCAATGTTCTTCGGCAGTACGGGTCTGTTCTCATTTTACTGCTGCTGTTGTCCTCTGTGGCACTTCTACGCGAAATCAGAGCTTGGCTTCATGTTTCTTCGGCCACGTGAGTTTGGTGAAGACGGTATGCCTTCAGAATTCGCCTGAAGGCGATCTTCCAGTCTGTGAGCCATCACCTGCGTTTTCGGTATCAGCTCTGCCATCTTCTAGACATCTCCCTCCCTTACGTCGCTGCTGTTTTTATTAACTTGGGTGCTCTCGTGATCGAAACCTGCTCCGTCACAGGATTTGGAACTTACAGAATTTGGAATACGCGAGGCTCTGTCTGCTACACGCTTTGGACCATCCGGATCCCTGTCTCTTACAGCTTTCGGGACTCCCTCGTTACAGAATTTGGAATATTCTGGACCCATTACAGCATTCTAGATGCCCGAGCCATGTAAGGCATCGGTAGCGAGAGCTGTAACTCTGAGAGCCGTAGTGGATAGGTCGTAAGAGTTGCAACGGAGCTTCTTCTTGAGGCTCTGAGACCTAAACCCGGCAATCCCTTGAGTCAATGAAGCTGCAGGTCTCCGGCCGGAACCCCAGCTCTGTCGTGCCGGGTCTCCCTTGGGGATTGGAGGTTTGTCATCCCTGGTCAATCTGTCGATCTCTCCACCTACTTGTTCATCAATCTCTCTGAATATGACATTGAGTGATGAATGAGGGAAGGAATGCATGAATGAATGGAGGAAGGAAGGAATCGCTGACCGACTGACTGACTGAACGAACAAACGAATGAATGAATGATTAAACGAATGGATTAACGAATGAATGAATACATGCATGAATGACTCAGTGAATGCATGATTGAACGAATACAAGAGTAAAATGAATGAATGAATGCATGCATGAATGATTGATTACAGGAATGAACGAACCCTTTCAATGATTGCATGTTTGTATATTTTTGATGTATTTATATGTATGTTGTATTTCCATGTAGATGTATGTAGATGTACGTAGATGTGTGTATGTGTATGTATGTGTGGTATGTATGTGTACGCATTTATATGTACGTGTATGTATGTGCATGCATGTGTGATATGTATGTGTAAGCACTTGTATGTATGTGTATGTGTTTTTTGTATGTGTACGTATGAGTGTGACTTTGTATGTATTTGTATGTTTGCATGTATGCATGTATGTGTATGTATGCCGCGTGTACGTGTTTGGGTATGTATGGATGGCTGGTATTCTCGTGTTGTAGTATTGTAGCATCATAGTTTTGCAGAGTTACAGAGTCATAGCATGATGGTAATGTAGTACCAATATATTCTAGTATCGTAGCATCACAGTACTATGGTATTGTGGTATTATAATAGTATGGCATCATAGTACTATAGTGCTATAGTATCATAGTATTAAAGTATCATAGTATCACGTAGCAGTGTAGCATTGTCGTGAAGTAGTTAGTATTATAGCATTGTAGTAGTATAGTATTATGATATGATAGTAGTATCGTATTATAGTAATATAGTATAGTATCACACTATTGCAGTATTATAGTAGTACAGTAGAGTATAGTAATACAACAATTTTCGTAGTATAGTATTCTAGTATCATCGTATCACCGTATCATCATGCCATAGTATCATAGTATTTTAGTGTCATAGGCTTATAGGTTTTTTTGCATTATCGTAGGTCGTCGGTATGCATGTATGCATGCATGTATGTATGTATGCATGTATGTACGTATGTATGTATGTATGTATGTATGTATAGCATACACCACCTCTAAGCATCGTGTTCACCTACTGCAACTTCCATGTTTGATTCTAGCTTGATACGTTTACATACACTTACATTTATCTCCGTAACAGCCTAGAAAAAGTGACTGACCGACACGCACACTCTCGCTCTCTCCCTCTCTGTCTCTCTCTCTCTCTCTCTCGCTCTTTCTCGCTCTCTGGGTCTCTCTGTCTCTCTTTCTCTCTCTTCCTGCTTCTTTCTTTCTCTCCTGTGGCTCGCCGTCTCCTTATGATGAGTAGATAGATATGCATGCATATGTATGCACAAACGCGCATACCCCTTTCGGACTGTTTGTACCCTTCGCCCAGGACGGCCTCGGCCATCCTCTTGCTCTTCGGGGGCGTGGCCACCCTGCTCCTCAGCGCTCACGGTTACGGGTAGGTATATGATTGTATATGTGGTACAGATATGGAGATATAGCTTTCGATAGCTGCCATGAATTTGGGCGTGGGCGATGTCATACTTCATTCCGCAGCAAGCTCTGGAGCTCTCGTTCTAAAGCGGCTGAGGTTCTGCTGGGTCGAGTTTCAGCATCTCGGCCGACTAGTGGATGCGAGGATTGCCTTTTGCACACTCTGATGCAGCAGGTTGCACACTTGCGAAAGAATGTAGATAAGGGTATGGCATGACAAGTTCAGTTCAAGAAGAGCCTCAGTTTGTGGTGGGTGGAAGCGTTTCGGAGTACTTCGAGCAAAGCCGTGAGACTTGCGAAAAGGGTTTCGGCCAGCCAGGCCCAAAGGATATGGTGGCTATGCAGCAAGAATGGAGGGGGGTGGCATCGTCGCTTGGCCTTGTTTAGCCAAACACAAGCCGATATGTGAACTGAAAACTTGAGTCTCTTCAGGTCTACCCTGCTGCAACTTCAAACTCTGCTGTAGGTTGTAACCTCTCCGTCGTGTTGAGACTTCAGGGGCTCTTATAGCAAGCCAGTACAGCGTGTTCTGGAACTTCCGCATCAGTATCCATCTGGCGGCCTAGATACCTTAAATGTTATAGACCTGGAGAAATGTGGGGCTGTGCAGGCTAAATTTGCATGACCGGGTCATCGACATGCGTTGAGCACTGCCCCACAGCGCAACTGCGTTGCGAGGCTTCAGAGAAAGAAGAAGAAGGATAATGTTAAATACACCAGCTGCAACGAACGCTTAAGCTGCCATCAAGCAAAATCTAGCGACCCTCTTGGAAGAGGCAATGCTGCTTTTCCACTACGGTGGCATGATATCTGAAGCACTGCAAGTTTTCCTTGGGTTTCATCCAAGGAGACATCCGCTGGCAGACGATTGAGTGAGCATCACCAGCACGTGGTTGGTGATGATGAGTCCTCGCTGCCGCCAGAGCATGTGTACCATCATGGACACATGTACTCCGGCGGTGTTGGCGGTGATGATTCTGCAGTATACCACTATCATGGCGTTGGTGGTGATGATTCAGCAAAATACCACTACGGACACATGTACTCCGGCGGTGTTGGCGGTGATGATTCCGCAGTATACCACTATCATGGCGTTGGTGGTGATGATTCAGCAAAATACCACTACGGAGGTTCGGCGGGGGGTGCTTATGGTGATGGCTCTGCGGAGTATCGCTATGGTGGTGCTTATGGTGATGGCGCTTCTAGCAATGGTTCCTATGGTCGATATTCTTACGGCAGCGGGCGCTACGGTGGCAAGTACGCCGCGGACAACGGAGTTGGCTACGGCAGTGGCGGACACGACTATGTTCATGTTCATGGCGACGGTGTTAGCGGCCATGCCCACATTCTGGGTCCTGCCAGCAAAGGTCACTACGTCAGTCATTCCGACGGATACGACGGACATGCAGTGAAGCACATCATCGAGAAGAACTACTATGATGTGCAAACCAAGACCCACATCGTACGGAAGCCCATCCCTGTCGCTGGACCGGTGCATTACCAGTCCGTCGTCATTCCATCTAAGCCACTTGAAGACTGCTTTCGTGGATACTCGAACTACAAGAAGCTGCTTGGGTGCCGCTGCGAACCTTTTGTTGTATTTCCATTTGCATCCAATCTAGTAAAGTTACTATTCCAGACATGCAAGGTTGTGGGACACGCAGAAGCAGCGCTACTGCTGCTACAAGTACAAGCGAGCATGCACGACTCAGTACATCAAGAAATATCATTACCATACGGTGGTCCACGAAAAAGAGGTTCCTGTCCCGGTTGAGAAGACAGTCGCAGCTTGTCTGAGCGTGGAGGAGGAACAAAGGTAGCTTCTGGTCTTGGTTTGTACTGCCCTGTTTGGACGGGGTGAAGCTTCAAGCACGCTAGCTCACGCATGGCAAGCAGCAAGGCAGTGTAGTCCTTAAGATAGAGCATCTCCCCACTCGGAACTGGGAACGCTGAACATGGCTCGTGTCCAGGTGGAGTCCAAAGCTCCAATCAACTCTACACGCCTTAGAAACAGCACGGCCTACAGGCAGTGCCGGTGGCCGCCAAGCGCAGGGTCATCACCATCCACGACCATGAGGAGCCGAAGCCACAGAAGGTGCTCCGGGTTTCTAGGGCGCTAGGGTCTGACGGCAGCAGCATCCAGAATTCAAGAGACTCTGAAACTCCGAAATCAAAACCTGCGGGGACCTATGTCTCACGTGATCCGGGGTTCGTAGCCGCTGATTGACAAGCACAGCAAATCTAGTTCAGAAAGTTTTGGTGCGTCGAATTTGGTGTTCTCCGAAGAAGCCCCGTGCCAGCAGCCTTAGTGGATGTGGGAATCCGTAAAGAAATCTGTGTAACACAACCTCTTCGATCCTGCTCTCCGAACCTTCCTGCAGGTCATCCATGTGAAGGCATCCTGGTCTTGCAAGCCGTGGATGATTTCGTCAGTGCAGAAGGGTTTAGAGACTTCGATCTGGAGCTTGTGGGTCGGGAACTCTTGCAGCTTCGGTCTTTCACGCGGCTTGAGCTGCCTCTTGGCCACCAAGGTACCCGTGCCCGTGCCTGGCCCACCAGCCCGAACCGTGACCAAGGCCGGATTTACGACTGGGCACAGGAGACCGGAAGGATAATCACGACAATCATGGGCCAGCAGGACCAGGAGTCGCAGGAATAGCAGCAGTCGTAGTCATAGTTTTCGCCAGCATACACAACGAGAAACCTTGAGCACACAGGTAGAGGGCATGGACATTAGAGCCCGCCTGACGGAAGACAACTTGCAGGACAAGCAAGAGCACAGTCCTGGAGGGAAGAAGAACTGCTTAGGACGATGTGGATCCGCGGAGGGTCATCATCTTTGGCACAAGACGCGGCACCACCGACAAGCCACAACCGCTCACAGAACGGTCGGACCCGCATCGAAGAAGTGCTACAACCCTTTAATTACGGTTGCCTCGTGTGTATTATCGTTTTGTTGATTGACCTCTTCTACCTGACATGACGTGACTCTGCGCGGCTCCCGGAGGTGATCCACTACGATGTTCCAAAGCCGGAGACGAAGATCATTCACAAAACGAAGGTTATCAAAAAGCCCGTCCCGGTCGTGCACTACGTCGATTACCCCGTGGAGAAGGAGCCTTTCAAAAAGCCCGAGCAGGAGCATTAGTTAGTTGCTTCAGACCGGCACCAGGAGAGCAAACCGAAGGTGGTGATCGAGACCAAGCACGTGATGTCCGAGGCTTATGACTGCCACGATGGTATGCACCACTGGAAGCTCTGGCCGAATTGTGAGCATCTTCAGGCTTTCGCTTTTTGGGGAGTCCGCTTTTGGGGCATTGGGGGCAATGCGGTTCTGGCATTGTTGATTCCATGCTCGTCCCGTCAATATCCGACGTTCTGCACACATGTCTGCTGGTACGCATGCTTGACCACCATGGACCATAAGCATAAGCAGAACCCCGCAGAGGATAGTGGGGGACATTGAATGCTTGACCTCGGATGCCCTCTTTGCCTGTGCAGCGAGGTAGCGAAGATGTCTACTGTCATCCTATGCGTGCTCGGGGTGTGAGTTCTGAGACATCTGAGGAAAGGAATGTGGTCCCACAGCAAGCGGTTGCTGGCCTGATGGAGACTCTGAAACGTAGTCGTATATCGTGGAGATCTGTCAGATAAATGGGCAGTATCACAAAGCTTTACCAGTTTAATCGAAGCCGATGCTCGTCCTGATGCTAGCGCTAATCTTTGTGACACTGCTTGTGTGAAGTACTTCAAGCCTGCCACAACCACTGCCTGTGAATGGGATAACGGTTCCTGCAATATCCAGTGTTAATAAGGTGCCCGACCTTTGACCTTGCTATTGCCAGCACCCTACATTCCAGGCTATGCAGTCTTTGCTCTGGACGCTGTACCGGGCAGTCGGTGTTTACTCTAGCCAATCCCGACATTGTCCATATCACCCAGCTTCAAACTAGACGACAGACTCGATACCACTCCCATCTATTGGTTTTGACTCATCAGACGTCAAGAGCATTTTGGAGAGACCAAGAGAAGTTCTAGCTTAGGGTAGTTCGGATGACCTGTCAATTGTGCGAACGGTGTAAATTTGTATCGAAGCACTCAGCTTCTTGGGGCCGGCTCCACAAACCGATGTCGCACGGAGAACGAGGTTGTTTCAAAGGCGGAGATAGTGACGGAGACTCTGCGCGCTTAAGCTGAGCGCGAAACTCTGCGACGCAAAACATCATAACCCATAGTTGAGACTGAGGTTGTACTGCTGTTGGAGGACACAGATTGGCTGCCCTCATACTCACATCATTGTGAAGAACAAAACCGTGCCTTGGCGTTGAAATCTGCCCCGGGCTTTGTCGGAGATCCACGACGGGTGGACAGATGTGTTCCAAGGGTTCCAGAGTTGAACTCCTGGGGCGGAGTTTCAAGGCTACGGTAGCGATACCCTGGATGTGCCTTCTGCCTGGCGTGATGCTACTACAAGCTCAGAAGCCGATGAGTACCAAGGAAGTCCACACCAAGTACGTCAAGCGCAAGGTGCAGATGCCGTGAATAGCATTCAAGCCCCAGAAATTTCCGTATACAGTGCACAGAAGAAACCACTCAGTGTTGCTAAACGAGCAGGTCGTGATGCCCGCGCAGATCATCTACAAGGATGTCACGGACGTGGTCCACAAGCACATCCATTCCCTGGATTTTGATTGCAACTCGGGATACTCCAACTGGTACTACGGCTGGTCTCCGAGTCTTGGGGGCAATTTGCTGTACAGCTTTCTAGGCGAGAGTCGGCGATCACACGAAGTTGCCACGGCAGCCCGTTCTCACATCTCGAGGAAGAAGAAGACGTGGTGCTGCCACCAGGAGAAATTGGGCTGCCCGGGCACATGGAAGGGATTCATCAAAGGGAAGGCAACATTGGTCCTCCATCACCATGAAGGCCACGCGCAGTATTTGGCAGGCATGTTTACTTTTTCTCTCTTCCGTATCGGTTGATCTCACTTCTCTTTCCTGAGCTTACCAATCCTGCCAATCGATGTTCCATCATTTCCATCCGTTTACGGCTCCGTCACCACTTATTACCGTGACTTCTGCTCCATCCATACAGTGATGAGGCCATTCGAATTCGTTAGCATGCCGCTTCTCGAATGAATCGTTGAATCTCGCAGCCCATGTAGCTTTCTATTGCAGTGTCTGCGCCTGTGAGCGCACATGCGCAGTGCCTGGCTGCGCTGACTGTGTGTAGCAAAGTCGTGCACTGTCTGTATGGCAGTGAATGCTGCTCGGTTGAATCTTCCATCTAGTAGACAGTCCTGGGCGGCACCCGATGCTGGCTTACCTTGCTGACTCTTGGAGGTCATGCCACAGGGACTCTTTACGATTGTGATGCGGGATTCTCGAACTGGATTCATGGTTGGTCGAACTCGAAGAAGGACGGTGCGGGATTGCGTGAACTTTCTCAATCCGTTCGGCCCCAAATCCCTTGCACTGCCAGGACTGGTGTTGCGAGAACGAGCATAAGGGCTGTGGGTTCCACTGCGACGGCGACTCCGACGACTGGTGGGGGCCTTTGTTAGGCTCTGCAGCATCAGCTGCTCTATCGACGGGAGTTTTCTGTTCGGCCCTCACATACAAGGTCGACTGAACACCGCGAATGGTGTTGCGGAAACTTCCAGACGGGATGTGCCTGGTTTTGCCGGGTCAGCATGTTTTCCCTTGTCTTTCCATCGTTCCAAGCCAGTTTTAAAATGGATTTGTCGGTCTTGCATATGCGTAGAGGTGCTAGCACCAGCCTCTCGCCTTTGGGGTGCGACGCACCTTGCTCCCTGTCTGCGCTGGAGGAGTTGTGCGTTGGGGAGGTTCGATTCGTGCCAGATGTGAGCTTCGAACGTGCCCGGGGCAGCCCAGGCACCCTCCACGGTGACACCTCCACATGCCAAGAGCGTGTTGACTGGACGAAGGAGAACACCTTCCCTGGACGCGACAATGCGTGTGCACTGGCCTACAGCCAGGCAGACGGCTTCACAAATCCGAAGTTGTCCACCTCCAAGTCCCGAGCCGGAGCCGTCGCCCGAAAACCGAAAGCTCACTGCCGCCTGCGAGGTGCAGGTGGAGTGTGATGTCTGCCGTGCCTGCAGCGTCGAGGCAGCTGGGTGCCAGGCCATCTGTGGGGAGCTGTGGGAAAAGCTCATGAAGCTCTTTAGACACAGAGCGGTCGTGAAGTGGCGCGCGCGCACGTTTTCGTGGTGGTGACAACACACGCAGGAAGCCATGATCCGTACCGGAAACCCTTGAAGTTTGGTGGCAACTCCCAGATGGCCTAAGACTCCTACAATACCTCCGAGCCAGGTGGCCCCCGGTGCAGCCAGCGACCCCTACGACTGCAATGCGGCATTGAACAACTTCTTCAGGGCTTGGTCGCCCGCAAAGAAGCTGCCCGGTGAAAGGGTGGTGGAGGGTTTTTGGTTTGTCACTCTTTCAGAGTCGGGGGTATCGGAAGGATGGGGATTGCAGTGATCGGTGACTTGGTCTGAGTTTGTACCCGGTAGAGGTTTAGGTTGAGGTTTCAGACGCCTGATCATACTGTCGTCAGCTTGTCTTTGTTCTGCACCTTACAAGAAGTCGCTCACAGATATCTGGTAGCGGCCGCAAGACCAAAGGGACGGGTTCACATCTCCACAATGTGTCCTCGTTGCAAGTCTGATATAGCAACGTGTGTACTCTCCGAAGCGGCACAGGGAAGGCTGGTCGGAAAGGTGGTGTCGCACCAGGTTCTGTCAGGCCAGTAGCACAGTGGCTTGTGGTCGGTTTCGGAAGGGTCTCACGCAGCGCGTTGAAGAAGTTTCTGCAAGGCAGTGGTGCTGCAACAACCAGGGCAAAGGCTGTGAGGGTGAGCACCCCCCATCGGTGGACCCGGGCGCTGGCATGATGTGGAAGCACGTCCAGGCAGGGAGCTAGGTCAAGAGGAGAGCTGGTTTCGAATCTCCTTGTACTGGTAGGTCTGCAGTTAGGTGAGCTGTCGGGCATAAGTAGGAAGTTCTGCAACGGTGCCCCACCACTGGAAGTAGGAACCCGCCGGGAACCCAGCGATGTAAGGAAGATGCAACAGATCCCTTCTGTTGCGACGGCGCAAATGAAGTTGTGCCATGCATTAGGCTCATCAGGAAGGGGCGCCGCCTTTCGGACACTATTGCCGCTGCGTTCGCGCGCGGCAGCGTTAGCGCCAGTGCCAGCGCCAGCCCCGCGCCATCATGCCAGCGGCCACGCCAGTGATCGTGCCAGCCCAGCGCCAGCACCAGCCCAGCGCCAGCCCTGGCCCTTCAACCTGCTCATCTGGCGATGCACCTTCATGTGCGGATCCAGGTTGATCACACATCATAAACTGGCCCCTGCTTTGGCGATCTCGATATTCATCACACTTCTTAAACCCACCCACTCATTTGGCGATCCTGTTTCGCCACTTATATCTTATATAAGCATGCCCTCTTATTAGGCGATCCCGGTTGATCATAATTCTTAAGCCCGCCACCTCATGATTCGATCCTGGTTGATGGCGCTTTTGTAAAGACCCCCTCAATCCAGGTTCTTCACATATCTGAAACGATCCAGATTCAACACGCAGCTTAAACCCACCTCTCACTAGGCCATCCTGGTTGATCACATATCTCAATCGCATTTCCGAAACCCGCCCCTCATTTGGCGATGCAGGTTGACAATATATCGTAAACCCACCACTCCTTTCATCACATAGCTTTAACCCGCACCCTCGTTTTTCGATCCAAGTCGATGACATTTCTTAAGCTCATCTTTCCCATCCAGGTCGATGGCACTTTAAAAGAGCTGCCCCCGTAATTGGCGACCTCTCAAATCTTGTAAACCTGCCGATCCGATTGATCACACACACGCGCTCCCTCATTCGGCGATGCAGCTTGATCACATATTAACAATCCACCCCCTCATCGATCGCATTTCTGAAACCTGCCTCCTAAGTTGGCGACTCCGGTTGAACACACACATTTCTTAAATCCGCCCCCTCATTCGTCGATCCCGTTTCCCCACTTATCTTCAGCACGCCCCTCAGGCGATCCCGGTTGATCACATTTCTTAAACCCACCCCTTCATTTATTGGCGACCGCGCGCATGCACCGCCAGTCCCAGCGCCAGTGCCAATGCCCGCCAGCCATCCCGCCGTCCCCATGCAGAGGAACACACAGCCAGCGCCGGCGCCGGTGCCAGCGCCTGCCAGCCGCAGCCCCAGCCCCAGCCCCAGCCCCACCCGTCGCCAGCGGCAGCGCCAGCGCCAGCGCGCGCGGAATTCGTCTATCCCCCCTTTCAGAGGCCTGTGCCGTAGCCTGATACCTGAGCCATTGTCTTCGACGGTCGGTCAGAAATCAACGCCGCATGGAGCTGCCTTCGCTCACGTAGACCAGTTGCCCTGTGCAGGTGAACGGGTACTGGACGTGGCAGGTGGTGTCTGTTGGAGGAGGTGCTGTGGCAGGAGGGGCTGCGAGCCTTCCCTTCGACTGCAATGTCGGCCGCGTGAACTGGAAGCAGGGTTGGTCTGCGCCGAAACAGCCGCTGAGCTGAAGTTGCCACAAGTTACATGTGCTCATACGTGTTCGATCTGTTTGGCTTGCTGGTCTCATATGCAGTGCTCCAGAATGCTGGACCTAAGGACGTATTGCTGTGCTCACGTCCACTTTGGCTGCCCCGGAGATGCAAGTGCAGCAGTCGGACACACGGTGGTCACTCACCACACGTACACCACCGTAACGCATGGTGGCGGTGGACACATGGTTGGTGGACACATGGTTGGTGGACACATGGTCGGCGGACATATGGTCGCCGGACACATGGTTGGTGGACACACGGTCGGTGGACACATGGTTGGACACATGGTTGGTGGACACATGGTTGGTGGTGCTGGAGGAGGTGCTGCGGCCATGCACATTCATGGTGGCGGAGGGGGCGCGACGTACCACAGTCACACAGTGACGTACCACAGCAGTGGCGGTCACGTGGTCACTCACGTCCATCATTCATGAGCCCGCGCAGGAGGTGCAGGCAGGGTGTGCCAAGCTAGGCCCAGAAGCCGAGAGCCCCCAAAATTCGAAGCTTCTCTCATCAAGCCCCAGATCTTTCCTGGCACGTGTTTTGGCCACGGCGCCACGGCCTCAGGCCCTCAGAGGTTTGAAAGAACCAAGTTGGACTGCTTGAGCATTTCGGCATGTAGCGACATGTCTTCACGAAAAATCTGCCAGCAGTTTGCAAAGTGGAGCCCATCGTCTCAGTGATACCTAGGTTGGCCGTGGCTCCACGAATACTGCCTTCACAGAAGGCTCTTCGTTTCGGGAGGGGTTGTCGGGCCTGTCCGAATGCAAGGCTACGCGAACTCTGGCGGAGAGAGGTTTTTCATCGAAAAAGCGGTGGACCCCATCCAATCCCAGAGTCGTCTAGGGGCGCGTAGCCCCTGAAGTCTGGGGGTTTGTGGGACATGAACTCCTTGGTGTTAGACTAGGGGAAGGGTGTGCTCTGGCAACTGTCGCTGTTTGAGGTCTCAGGTTCAGGTAGGCGTTCTACCAGGAGTCTCATCACCACGAGAGCTTAGGTTGCGGAAGGTGGTTGAAGTGTAGTAGCAACATACGGTCCTGCACATTTGCACGCCAAAGCAGAACCAAAACAACCAGCCACCCGAAGCCGTAAAATCCAGGCGCCTGGCACGGCCACACCTTTTGGTGCGCCTTCGGGTGAACGGGCCTGGGGCATTCTGGAATCTTGGGCTTCCGTTGACATCTTGGTTCTTGTGCCCGTGGAAAAGGTTCCTGGGAAGTGTCAGTGTCGAAAACACACCTCCGTTTCTCGACGAGAGATTGGAGTTCAGAAGGAGTTTGAAGTCTGCGCAGTTCGGTCCCGTTCCGAGTTGCAGCAGCGGTGCTCCCAAACTAGCAACTACAGTAGCCAGAGTCTGCTTCGGGCTTCATATCAGACGAGGTACGCTACTCCACCAAAGCCGTGGGCAGGAGTACCGATTTGATTTGCCGCACGCTGAGCCTTCTTCCTTGCGCAGTTGAGTTGGTACGATTTGCTGCCGTACTAGACGTCACACCATAGCCAAGCCTATGGTATACCTCGGGAAGGATCCGAGTCATGCAGCATGTAACTGGAAGCTTTCTCGGGACTCACATCATGCACTATGACATCATGGGTGCTTCCCACATTCTGACAGAAAGTGTGCGCGACAGAGTGGTATCTGCTCAGTGCCCCTGGCAGGCGTTGATGGCAACATCCTTGCGATGGCTGCAGTGACGGCTTAGATCTCTCAGTTCAAATCTGGAGCCTAGCGCGTGTTATTCGGTCGATATCATCAGACTCTGATGTTGGAAGAAGCACTAAACTCACCTGCTGGCCTCGGAGTAATTGCACGGCCCAAAATCGGACATATCGTGCCTCGCCATTTTCATTCGCTTCATCTCCTCATGCATGTCGTTGGTTGTGATCAAACCTTGCAAGGGGGGACCAACATCGAGACCAGACAAACAGCCGATTTCATTAATGGTACTCCAAACGCGAGGATTTCACAGGGAAGGCTTGAGACAGAAGCACGTCAGTGGCTCCGATGGCTTTCACAGCACGCAGCTCCAAGCAGACCCCCATGGTCAGCAGAGATTGAAACGCCCTACTGAGTGCCTGGTACCGGCCTAATGTGTTCAAGACTCGAGGTTCGGGGGCATGCATGTAGGTGGGTAGGTGAGTATAGGTGAGTAGGTGAGTAGGTAGGTAGGTAGGTAGGTAGGTAGGTAGGTAGGTAGGCAGTTAGGCAGGTAGGTAGGTAGGTAGGTAGGTAGGTAGGTAGGTAGGTACGTGCTCACGTATATCACGTATGCAAGTAAGTAAGTATGCAGGTATGTATGAATGTATGTATGCATGATGTGCAACACACATGCATGAGGATTTTATGCATGAGTTTTCATACATCGCACACGCGCGCGAGAGCACAGACACACCGGCATACGCAGATGCACGCACACAGAAACGGACACACATATGTGCATGCGTACCTGCATGCACACATGCACTATCGTACATACATGCGAGCATGCACACATGAATACTTCACGCATGGGCTCATCCATGCGTGCATATATGCGCAGATCCATTCACCCCTGTATGCATGCTTGCATGCATTTGCTTGTGGCTAGGTGGAGATGACCGGGCGGAGCCGACATTGTGTTGGCGCAATGGTCTGTTGGAATAGCTAGGCTTGAAGAATGTGCACGGTGGATGCATGCATTGACGAACACGGAGGGGGTGGAGCGGCGCAGAATTATCAGGTGGCTTGTTGGACAACAAAGACTGTCCAGCTGCCGCGGTGCATTTAGAAGCTGGGCTGTGAGGACGGCCATAATTGGATCTTGGTTTGTGTGTTTATATATATATATATACACATACATACGGCATATAGGTATAGACATGGATATGGATACAGAGAGACGCAAGCACACCCGGATACAGGAGACAAGCGCGCCCCTCTTCAGAAGTCAGGAAGTTGGGCGGTACGCCGAGATTAAATCGGTTCGGGCTTTGAGGAGTACAATACCTGTAAACACAATTTCTCTGGCCAGTAGCTCCACATGCCCCACGACCGCATGCTAGAATGGCCGCCCATCACTGACCCATGAACTGTAGTGTGCTCGCCTTGACCGAGTGGAAATCCAGCATCCCGCTTGCACCGCAGCAAGTCTGGCAAAGCCCACAATGGCTGGAAGTGAAAGCCGGACCGCTTAGTCACTGCAGACAGTGCCTGTTGAAGCCGAAGCGGATGCTGGTACAAAGTTGCTTTCACCCCTCTGAATGCTGGTGTTTCATCTTCTATGGCAATAAGAACCAACTGATTGCATGTGTCGGTTGCGATGAATTTCATTATGTGTTGTGAAGCACAGGAGACAGCGAGTGATTTGGAAGCGAAGTCTATTTGGGCGAAGGCCCAGACGAAGCTCGAAGGCACCAGTATGTGCGGAACGTTTCACCGTCAAACTGCAGAACAAGTTTGACCAGTGTCGCTAGGATAAAAGGCGTACTGCCGTTGATTCCTGTCTTGTCGTTCAGTGTTGCGAGCTACCATGGGAACAGTTGCCACTTCTGGGCTTTAATCTTCCGAAAGGTGGGCAGGTCCCAAGTCTTACTGGACCGTTTTTTGGGCATCCAGGTTTCAAGCTACCACAAGTCGCGAATTCGAGGAGGCGGTTGAGATGGCACGATGTGATGGTGTTGTTGTTGATGAGGTTGCTGTTATGATGACAATGATGACAATGATGATGATGATGATGATGATGATGATGATAGCTTGTCTCTTAGGTTGTCGTGAGGTCGGGCCCATGCACACACTACTCACGCGATACACTACCAAGTTTCTGGCAAGTTTCTGACTCCAATACCCAAGCAATCGCGAGGTTCACAGTTCACAACCTCGTTTCACTGGCATGCAAAGAGGATTCATCACGAGGTCAATGCAGGATCCTCTAGTGAAGCGTGTGACGCATGTGCAAGAAGCACGGCTTGGCTTCATAAACCAGTTTTAAACGAATATTCTCTTCCATTTGTTTCGAACTGCCTGCGAACATCCGAACTCCCGTAGAGGACTTGAAATTGCACAATCGTGCCTTGGAGCCTTTCAATGAGTATATAGGAGAGGGGAGTCGGGTGAAATCATCGTGGCGGCGAAACTGACAGACCGTCGGTTGCCCAAAGGGCCGGGGACTGCCGCAGCCGCCTTCGGGCCCTTCGTCGACAACAGCCGCAGCGGGAGGAGACCGAGACGAGGCAGGAGGAGGCGTTTGCTTCGGAGCCGGTTCACACCTCTCCAGGGGAAGCTATACAGAATGTCAGCCGGTCTGCGGTATCAATCACAAACGTGGCGACGACTGCTAGCTGATGCTTCATGTGAGGCTGACCCAACATAGGGCATGGGGAAGCCTTCCGATCGCGCGAAAGCGAGCTCCGCGTGTGGTGAAGGGGCCATTCGTGTTCCTCCGGTAAGCGCAATCAAATGCACATTCTAATACTCGGGCCACACATTGGCCTCGAAATGACAAGCCTGTGCACGGGCACTGTGTATGCGGTGTCACGTTAAATTTGGCACCAAAATGGGTGAACCGCCGCCAGTACTTCGGGGAAAGATTTCGGTCGTGCCTCGGTTTTGGGGGAAACATTCTGGCAGTGCTTCCATAGTCGGGTAGCCTTCCTTGCATTCAGTGGGTTTTGCGCGCTTTCAAAGCTTTGCTGGCCCGCTGAACAACAAATCGAGAAAGCCACGGTCACGTCACTTGGAGAAAATGGGGGACGCATTTCGATCGCGTTTCGACCCTGCCAGTACGTGGGGGAAGCATGCTGGCCGTGGTCGTTAATTGCACCAGTGCATCTTTATGGGGAAGGGTTTTATGCAGGGACTTTAAAGAGGGGTTTGTAGAATGGTTTATAGAACGTCTTACAGTGATGGGTTTATGATGGATGGATGGATGGGTAGATGGATGGATGGATGGATGGATGGATGGATGGATGAGTGGGATGGCATGGGATGGGATCAGAATTGATGAGATGAGACGAGATGATATTCGGTGTTGCCTCATTTTTTAGAGACGCTTTCGGGACACTCGTTCTCTAGCTTTTCTCATGTGCTGGAGTTCAATGTGCTCGATAGCCGCCACATAGCAAAGACGTGGCAAACATGCGTCCGGGCTGTGTCGTAGCAGCGTAAAGCAGCGGGACATCACTTTGCAGCGCGCGAATCAGGCCGCGGCCCGGTGACAGATCACGGGCAGTGTGTCGCACCATGAGGCCCAGTGCGCGGTGTGGCGGTCGGCGACAGCGACCGCAGCCCAAGTCCACTTAGGCTGGTAGCGCGGATCGGCCCGTCGTCACGCTCGAGCAAGGCGGCGAAGCAGCGCTCGATTGCGTCATTGTGGTGCGGGGGTAGGACTCTGAGAGACTCTGAGCAGGTAGTTGGCCCAAGTGGCAAGCAGCAACAACCATGCAGCTTGCAAGTCCT